CCATCTATTGGAAAAGTCTGACGAGTCAGGATACTAGCACAGCACAAGGAGAGGCGGCATGGTGTATTGTGTAGCAGTTTGAACTGTTGGACTAGGATCTAGGAGACCCACATTCAAATCCCCACTGAGCCAGTTGGGTGTAGTGGTTCAGTGCGCGGACTCTAATCTGGGAGAACCGGGTTTGATTCCCCACTCCTCCACTTGTACCTGGCTGGATGACCTTGGGCAAGCCATAGTTCTGATAAGAGCTGTTCTTGAAAAAGAGCAGTTTCTGTCAAGAGCTCTCTCAGCCCCACCTACCTTACAGGGTGTCTGTTGTGGGGAGGAGAAGGGAAAGGAGTTTGTAAGCAGCTCTGAGACACCTTTGGGTAGTGAAGGGCAGGGTATAAATCCAATCTCTTCCTCCTCCTCTTCTTCTTCTTCTTCCTCTTCCATAGAAGCTTACTGGTTGACCTTGGGCCAGTCACACACTCTCAGCCCCATCTACCTCACAGGGTGTCTGTTGTAGGGAGGAGAAGGGAAAGGAGCTTGTAAGCCGCTCTGAGACACCTTTGGGGAGTGAAGGGCGGGGTATAAATCCAATCTCTTCGTCGTCTTCTTTTACCTCACAGGGTGTCTGTTGTAGGGAGGAGAAGGGAAAGGAGTTTGTAAGCCGCTCTGAGACACCATTGGGTAGTGAAGGGCGGGGTATAAACCCAATCTCCTCCTCCTCCTCCTCTTCTTCTTCTTCTTCTTCTTCTTCTTCTTCTTCTTCTTCTTCTTCTTCCTTAGAAGCTTACTGGGTGGCCTTGAGCCAGTCATATACTCTCAGCCTCACCTACCTCATGGTACTGTTGTGAGGAAAAAATGGAGAAGGGGAGAATGTTGGAAGCCGCTTTTGGGGAGAAAAGTGGGGTACAAAAGAAATAAAATAAAATAAAATAAAGGAAGCATGGAAAACAGTGTTGAACAATTCCTGTCAACACTCGGTAAACATTATAGGTTGCATCTTCAGTAAAATATCACCAGAGAATCTGGCCATTGACCACGTTAAAATGTCAGGTAGCATTTTTATAAATGTGTGGCGTGCTTTTCTTTTAAGCAGTCGATACGGTTTCCAGTGGTGTGTTTGCTGTCTTCTGTGCTTCAGATGGCACTATGTAATTAAGGATCACTATTTCTAGATGAAATATATGCAGCGTCATTAAGCAGCCTGAGTAAGCTTTATAGGAAGTAAAAGCTCATCCTACCGATGTTGTAGCTATTTAGTCTGAATGCTCTGTGGCCTGCTGCATCGTACAAAAAGGAAAACTCTAGCATCTTCTCATGGCAAGACACATGGGTTTCATTTTCATGTTGCTAGCTACTGGAGGGGGGGGAACGTGCAGATCTGTCCTCGCAGAGGAGGGAGAGCTTGTACCTGAATAAAACTTGGTCTTAAAGGTGCCACTGGACTGTTTTGGACCGGGGGGCCAGGGGGGCTCTGCAACTTACCTGGCTGCCTCTTGCTCTGACTGAGGGCTGCTGGGAGCAGAGGGTGGGGCTTGTTGCATGTGCCCGCCCCCTGGGTTCTTTACTGCCAGAGCTCTGCTCCTGCAGGAAATGACCCCTGGATCCAGGGGTCTCCAATGCCTTTCTGAGCTTGTAGGCATTTTTTTGGAATTTTGAGAGGAGGAGCTAAGTGCTACCCCAAAATGTCTGCCCCAGGAGGCAGAGCTAAATGCAGTACCTCCCTACATTTGCAAAAGAATTGCGTGACAACCATCCTGAATACACAAAGCTGCCTTATGCAGTCGAGCCATTGCTCTGTCAAGGTTAGTAGTGGAATAAAAAGAGAGAGGAATGGAACCACACAGTGATTTTAAAAGCCCACGTGTTTACCAGCCCTCTTGATCCTCCAGTGGCTGCAACTTCTATTGCAGATGTGGACAATCTTCTCATTTGAATGAGCCAATAACAGGCCTTCAGGGCTATCAGTGTTTACTTTCAATATGTGAGTGTGGGCAGAGGTTCACTTGAAGAGCAAAAGGCAGCCATTTCCCTGTGACTCATGTTCTCTGAAGTGAGTTCTGTTTCCTCACACCTGCGTCACCTTTCCTTGTATGTTGGAGTCCTAAGGGAATCCCTGAGGTTGTGTGATGGATTCAAGGAAATGAGGCAATTGGAGCAGCAACGGGCTGAGCTAGGCTTAGGGAAGGACTGCCTCAGCCTCTCTGGTGATTCACTGCCAGATAAAAGAGGCCTTTACATGCATCTCATCCTCCAAGTGCAAGCAGACAAAATGGATCTCTGAGACTCTCAGTTACAGGTTGTTCCTGAAACAGCCATTACTCTCTGCTGCATAAATATGATTCCAATTTTGTTCTGTGTTGACAAAGTGGGGAAGAGTGCCACTTATACACACATCTGTCACACAGTGACCAAACTCTGGGTGCGTTCAGACGGGGCGTTTCAGCCGGCAGAAACTGCACCGGTTCCAACCGGTGCAGTTTATGCTGGCTGAAACGCGATCACACTTACCTCCGATCTGCGGAGCCCATCACTGTATGCCCGTTCACACACAGCGGGCATTGGCGGTTTGCTTTTTAAACTCAGTTTGCGCATGCGCATAGGCAGCCATCCACAGAATGGCAATCTTCGCGCATGCACAAAACACCCCGTCCCGAAAAGCATGCCCTGAAGAGCAGGCGTACCTTTAAAGTTTAAAGACCAAACTGGCCTCCCTGAGGTCCCGAACTCCTCTAACACCTTAAACTAAGGACCTTTTTCTTTTTAAAAAAAACAAACGCCAGGGCGAAGCTTTGCCCAAGCGCATATCGCCGACCTAAAAAAAAAATGCCGGGTGAAAATCAGAAGCCTCGGGCTTCCAAAGTGGCTCTACAACGGTGGAGAGCGATCAGACCGGGGGGGGGGGGGGGGGGGTAAAGCGATTACAACCGTTGCACTCAGGATACCACCACTTGGGGACCTAGTGGCAGAATACAACGGTTTAAAGCTCTTTGCAACGGTTAGGGATGGAAGGCAGATGTTCACCGTGTGAACGCCGGTAAGTACACCGATTCCAACTGGCACCTATACAGTTGCAAATGCCCTGTCTGAACGCACCCAGTGACAGCTGAGAACAAAATTTCTCACTCTGCCGCATTAAGCGACCAGCAGCCAGTATTTTATCGTATTCTTAGATTACTGGGGAGACCAAAGTTGGTTTGGGAGTGGGTCCTGTACAGTTTGAGAGCATTTGTAGAAGTAGGATTAAAAAAAGAAACCCACACATGCACATGCACATGTGGGCTGACCCACTTAACTCCCTCACACAGCTCTGCTCCCCCCTCCCCCCCACACTGCGATGAATGGCTGCCAGGAGCAAGAAAATATCTGTGTAGGGGGGAGGGTGTGCTGTGGCTACTGGTGAAATGAAAGAAATGGTACTGGTCTGGCTGCCAAGCATGGAAGCTGAGGCTAGGGTTGCCAGCCTCCAGGTGGGGCTTGGGGATCTCCTGCTTTTACAACTGATCTCCAGCTGACAGAGATCAGCTCCCCTGGAGAAAATGGCTGCTTTAGAGGGTGGACTCTATGGCATGGTACCCTGCTGAGGCCCCTCCCCTCCCCAAACCCCGCCCTCTCCCGGATCCACCCCCAAAGTCTCCAGGTGTTTCCCAACCCAGACCTGGCAACCCTAGTTGAGGCTGTTAGATTAGTTAGAAGCATCTTCTGTGAGTATGGGACTTTCTTTTAGCCATATTTCCTCAGGATACCTGGCAAGACTGATTCAGCCCCATCTTCGTAGGGCTTTCATGCTAGCACGGTTTGACGTCCTTCCCTCAGCTGTTCTATCGGGAAGGTTCAACAAAATTCCCTATAAAGATAGATTGTGCCCCTGTGGGATGGGGGAAATCGAATCCATTGGACATGTGCTATTGTACTGTAAATTCCACTGTGACATCCGTGTTGTTTTTATTGAACCTGTGTTGGACCCCCTTTTGGGCCAATCTGATGAGCATAAAATTAGTTCTTTATTGTCTTCGCATAATATAGAAATTCTGGAACTTGTAGCAAATTTCTTTTATGAGGTATCTAGGAGGAGAGGCTCATATTAAGGCAATTAGGAATGTGATACCCCTCCAGCCTATCTTGAGGCTCTATGCTGCATGTGTATTTGATATTTTATGCCAATAAAGGTGTTGTATTTGTATTTGTATTTGTAGTTAGAAGCAGTGGAGCCTATAGGGAAGACCGATAACAATTTTGGTACAAGGCTAAGAATATACCATCATAAAATTCTGTGTATTGTTTGATCTTCAATAAAGTCTATAAAATTTTTAAAAAAATTCTGTGCAGCTAGCAGGTGTTTAAGGAACTGTCTCTCTACTGGATGGGAGAAATGTCCTTCTGAAAGTCACGGCTGAACAATCTAAAAAAAAACCTGAGGACGATGGTCTGAAAGTTTCTTTATGACTACAATTGAAACTGCTTGTGCAACGGTAACTGATGTTGGCTATGTACATGATAGTTGCCCAAGAGAAGCACATTGGCAAGCATATGAATTTGCTGGTAAACTGAATCTAGGAGTGTGATGAAAAGGGGAGCTCTTCAGCCTCTTTGAATATTCCATAATACTTCCATGGTCACAAGTGAACTTCAAGTCCATGGAAGGGAGAAACTGGCTTACTACCAGCTTGCATTGATGGGGAGCAAGTTGACAACTGAGAGAAGGAAATCCTTTCCAGTTACATAAATTAAGCTTTATGTTCTCACCCAGCGCAGCCAAGCTATCTATGGCAGAGATGCCCTAATATTCATGCTTCTTCCATCCCTTGTAGGCAGGAAGAAAGAATAGCAAATGATATATACATGTGTATGCACAAACACTAAACCCACATGCAACATCATTCATATTCCATGTGTCCATGCTTCCCAAACATGTTCTCTACCATGCACGAGACAAAATGTCTGAATCAGACCCTAGCTGCCCGATATTTATTTGTAATCCAGTTTTGTAATTTTCCTCTCTTAACCCACAGGGTGCCCACACTGTAAAAACTCCATTCCACATTTCACCACTGCTGCAGAACACTTTAAAGAAGATCGAAAGGTAACCCTATTTGATTCATTTTTGAAATATGATGTAGAGTTCACAGCCACTGTTTTCTGCTATTTACTTGGTCTGGTTTGTTTAATGAAAAAGGCTGGACTGTATCAAAACAAAACAAAAAATGTCCGAACCAATGAATCACTGCTGATATATTTGCTCTCAAAAGCCAAGGCAGTAAGCAAACCATTTTCCTGTTTTTAAGATTTTCCTTGTTTGGTGTAGTGGTTAAGTGTGCGGACTCTACTCTGGGAGAACCGGGTTTGATTCCCCACCCCTCCACTTGCAACCTGGCTGGATGACCTTGGGCAAGCCGTAGTTCTGATAAGAGTTGTTCTTGAAAAAAGAGCAGTTCCTGTCAAGAGCTCTCTCAGCCCCACCTACCTCACAGGGTGTCTGTTGTGGGGAGGGGAAGGGAAAGGAGTTTGTAAGCCGCTCTGAGACACCTTCGGGTAGTGAAGGGCGGGGTATTAATCCAATCTCTTCTCTTCTCTTCTTGTCTTAATTTGTTTCCTTGTTAAATATGGTTTGGTTAACATTATTCTTGTATGGCATCATGCAACGTTTTCAGTCTCAGGCTGAGACCCAGTGGTTCATTTCAGACTCAATGGTAAGAATCTGTAAAGGGAAATGTGATGGGGAAAGAAATCCTAAGTGCAGTTGGAGTTCTGTTTACTGATATTGCTGCAAATGACCTTACTGCTGAAGAGGCAAACCCTTGTCCGGTTATAAAAGTGGCTTGTCTTTTGAGCCGCAGGAACGGCTGTGATGAAAACAGCAGGGAAAAGCTCCAGCTGTGCGTGTGCTCTTCTCTTCTGCCCACACGCGTCTCTTTATATAATGTCCATAAACAAATGGGTGCAATTTAGTATGCAGAATGTTCTTATTGGATAACATGCTTGATCGTTCAGAAACTGCCAGATATTGAGAGGAGACCTTTAGCCACGGAGACAGTGATGGATGGATAGAACCCTTATTCTAGCTGAGAGTAGTTCTAGCAAAAAGTGGAGCGGTATAAAACTTAATGATGTGGAACCAAAGTTCAGATTGAGAATATTGAGTTTTGGGGGGGGGGGGTTCCTGAAGGCCAAGCACACAAGAAAAACAGCTTTGGTTTTTTCCACTCCTGACTTTTCAAGGTGTTGGAGAGTGATAATTTTGGATTCCTACTTCCCATCACGCAGCATCCAATTTTGCTGAAGTGTTTCTCATGGGCTGCTGAAAGTCCTTAATGGATATTTTACACAAGCTGATACAGCACAAGAATGCAAGTGAAGGCCTCCTTCCTTGATCTCCCCTTTTTGCCCCCTCCTGGAGCAATCTCTGTGCAAAGTTTACGCTGAGTGTAGAGACAAAGTAAAATAATTGTCCCTCAAATCCAGAAATGCAGTTCTGAAATGTGCTAACTTCTCAGATCCTTTTCTGTAAGATTCCATAAGTACTAAAATAAAACATTAATATTTGTGAGCAGTGTTCCCTCTAAGCTGAGTTAGTGTGAGCTAGCTCACAGTTTTTTAGCCTCCAGCTCACACATTTTTGTCTTAGGAAGGAGGGCTCCAGAGCCAACTAATTTATGCTGTAGCCACAACTTTAATGCCGGTAGCTCACAAAGTAGAATTTTTGCTCACAAGACTCCACAGCTTAATGGGAACATTGTTTGTGAGCTATTGTGAAGTCTATGAGGGTAGGTTTGTGTCTCCTGCACTTTGAGTAGTATGTGTAAGTGAATGACACAATATCTCTGAATCCATAATCTATTTTTTGAAGAAATCCCAAGTACCGCTGTGGATTTAGGATATTGGCACTGTGAGGCAAGGTTGCAGGCCCGAAGCCAGGAATTTTAAAGTCGGGGGGGGCATTTAAATTCCGGGGGGGGGCACTGGCTAATTTAATCAAAGTTAATCTAATTAAATGTTGGGGTTTGTGCAGGAAAAACATTAAAGGGGGGGGAGGAGAAACGCATCAAGAATGAAAGACGGGTTGGTCTGCGAGCAAGTGAGTTCTTGGGCCGCCCAGACGGAGTCTATACTCCTGGAGTTAAAACCCGCTGGGGAAAGAGAAAGAGTAAGATTTTTAGAGGAGGAGGGAAGAAAAAGCGAAGAAGAAAGTTTTAAAAAGGGGAGAAAAGGAGATGGAGAAAAGGAGAAAGAGAAGGGGGAAATGGGAGGGAGGTAAAAAGCAATACCAAAGGAGAGGAAGAGGAAGGAAGAAGGAAGGAAGAGAGACAAAGGAAAAAAGAAACGATGGCGGAGGAGAGACGAGGAACAAGCTGAGGTGAGAAAGAGAAAGGGGAACAGCCAGCTGAAGGCGAAGAGGGGAGAGAGCTGCCTCTGGCTCCCTCTTATCCCCTTGCCCGCTTCCCCCTCTCCTCAGCCCGGGTTGTAGGGTTGTATGTTTTGTCCATGAGGATGAAGAGCTGGAGAGATGTATCACTGGACCCTTCACCTGACTGCGTGTCTTGGGATACTAAGGTCCCTGAACTAGTCCTCTGACCTGCAGTACTGCAGACAGGGTTTTTCTGCTCACAAGGACTGTGGCTGTGTGGGGAACAGACAGTCCTTGTGAGCAGACAGGTCTTGCCAGAGAGCCACAGTACTCCAACAGTGCCAGCTAGGGCTGCCAAGGGGGGGGGGTAAACCCCCGCTTCGGAGGCCTGATTCCCGCCGCCGCGGAATTGGGCCCTGGGGGCGACTCCGCCCCCCGAAGCGCAGCGTGGCTGCGTCAAAACTCTATGGTTTCCGCTCCGATGATCGGGGCCACACCCTCAACGTGATCAACGTCGCGCGTCACTTCTGGTGACGTGCTGGCGGCATGCGCGCGCATGACGAAGGGCAGCTCCCGGAGCCCGCTGAGGCTCCCCTGCCAGTAGGAAAATTTGACTTGGCAACCCTAGTGCCAGCCTGCGCAGTCTAAGGCGGGTTCAGACATCCATGTTCATCATTTGAAGACTGAAACACAAAGTGATGACTTCCCTGAGTAGAACAGCCATCACTCACCTGACACAAGGGAGAGGTTTCAGGGCGAACATTAGGATATCGCTTGGAGACATTCCGCATGTTCAGAGAAGCATCCTCAAGTGATAAAACCAGTTGAACATTATCACCTCTGTCCCCTAGGACTCCCTTTAAGCTGCACCTGTGACATGTTTTCTTGTACGCATATAACATTGCAGTCTGTGGTTGTGGTGTGTTGGCAAATGCATGTGATATAGATGTATTAATACTTCACAGAGCTGCAGTTGGCTAGGCTCTGGTGATAGGGTTTGCCACCACACAATTGTTGGCAGAGTTTTAACGTGCAAAGTAAGTGGAGCACTAACCGTTCAGGGGGGAAATAAAGAACAAACTGTTATAGAACATACAGAGAGAAAGCCTAAACTGACTAGTCTGTCTGCTGTGAGAGGAGACAGCAACAAGAAGGAGGCTCTGCCAGAGCAGGAAGTCTCCAGAGAGCCAATCAGGAGACAGGAGGGGATAACTTGAAAATACCAGGAAGTCCTTAATCTGACTATGCTAGCCACTTAACCCCTCCGATGCCCCCTGTAGCATATTTTTCTTATCCTTCTTGCTTCATGCACACAGCAGGTCTTGCATATTCCAATACTAATGTGTTCAGTAGTTCTCATTTCTAGCATATAAGGTAAACGTAGGCCCTGGTCACATGGGCCGGATATCGCGGGGGGAAGGCGTGGCTAATTGCCCCGGAGGAAAATAACGTGCGGCCGCCCGAGCACACGTCCCGGTCGAGGTCCCGTGGTTAGGGGGGAGATGCCGACCAGACGGGTATCCTGCAGCGCGGCACAGAAGCCACGCCGCGCGATCGCACTAGCATTCACTCTTTGTGCGCATGAGCTGTTGGGCACTGTTACACAACCTGCGGAGACGGGCGCCGGATGTCACGTAAGTCCACCAGAAACACGATCAGACGCCCGCCCTTGGCCCGCGGTTTCTGGAAACTAGTACCTCGTAAGTACTAGTTTTTTAATCTGCACCTTCGGCGGGGAGCCACGGGTTCGCCACGGGAGCCCTGCGCCTCCCAGATGTTGGGGTGTGATCACGCCTGGAAAATCCGCTGGACTCCCGTGCCTCTCCCACGACAACTTTGCCGTGTGACCGGGGCCATGGATTGGTTTCCCAGAAGTCCCCTTGTTCCAGGCTTTGCAAGTCCAAAGGCTTATCCAGGCCTGATAGTTAGTCTTGGTTGGAAGCACTGCATTTATTCTTTCTGACAGTTAACAAAGCATCAGGACAGTCATTGCCAGGGAACAAAAAGATCTGTAAATACAAATATGCTAAAACACACACACGCAGAATCCCAAACCCTTGTCACTTGGCAAGAACACCCTTTTGTGTGTAACCAGAGATTTGTCATCTTTACTTGACTGCTTTCTAAACGGTTCTTTTTCTGACTGAAACGTTGTCCTTTGTGAAGGAACACTTAAGAGAACCTGCCCCTTTTCATTCCTTTCCAAGATCAATGTTCCGTTAGTTATTCACTTCCATTTTCATAACAAAAGTCAATATTTGCTCCTGCCGAGATTTATTTCCTTGAATCAATAAGCTGATGTGTGACAGTACATATTTTAAGAGGAGAGAAGCCGACTACTCCTGCAGGAGGCTTTTATTATTGCAGCCTGATGTCAGAGCTGGAAAAGCGGCTTCCGAAGAAAGAGATGGGAGGGAAATTGTTTAAGACAGTGGGATACTTTTTTAAACACAGCAAATGGGAGGATTGGGGGGGGGGTTGCTATATGCACAGCTGGTTTTGAATAAATAATGGCAAAGGCATCCTTCAGTAACTAAACCAGGAAGAAAATCTGCTTCAGAGACCAGAGAGCAGAACCCAGATATTGGACAGGCGGTGTTCCATACACTCTGCTGCACTACCTCGCTGTGGTCTTCTGCATTGCGGTTGGTGATGCGCAGGTGACAATACTCTTCCTCCTCCTCTATAGGAAGGCTCTTTCTATAGCACATTGTCCCTTTATAAAATTGCATATGTCC